CGGGGAAAGCCACAGGCTTGTGGATGTGAGGGTGCAGGACTTTGGGTTGAAGTGTGTGAGGGGCTCATGGCAGGGAGGTCGGGAGTATGATGGGCTCAGGACACAGATTTGCAGTGTGTGAATGGTGCAAGAGTGTTATGGCAGAAGACTGAGGGGGTGCGGGAGTTTGGGGATGTGAGAGGCTCAGGACAGGGGATTCCAGTGTCTGATAGGCTCAGGTTTGGGATCTGGGGGGATGCAGGAGTGTTATGATGCTGTGACCAGATGAGGTCTTGGCCCCAACTGGGGGATTGTTGGCGAGGCTTCATTTTTAAATAAAATATTATGTCCAACACAAAATGTTTCAGCATTGTCTTTATTTATGAGAGGGGCGGGGAACCTGTTTTGGGTCAGGGGCCACTGATACACAGAAAAATCAGTTGGGGACCATACAGGTGAGATGCAAAAAAACAACCTTTTCAAAATTCCCCAAACCTCACTGATGTGGCTCCAACTGAGACACCTCACTCCCCTGGCACTCCAGCCCCATGGGGATGGGAAAGAAGATAGGTACGATTGAGGTTCAAAGCCTCAAGCCAGATTAACTCTTCTGGGGTTCCAGGGTTAGTGGATTTTTTGGGCCCCTCCATGCTCTGAGGTGGGGCCAAAAATGAGGGATTCAGTGTGGGGGACAAGGCTGCCAGTGACTGGGATAGGGATGGGGGTGAAGAATCTGGATGGAAAATAGGGTACAGGAGTAATCTTGGGGTAGGTGTCTGGCTAAGAGGGAGGGGGCAGAAGCAGGGTGCTGGTGGGTATCTGGCCAGTGGCCAGGGTGCTGGTGGAGGTCTGACCAGGGGCCAGGAGCAGGGTGCTGGTGTGGGTCTGGCCAGGATGATGGATGGGAGTCTGGCCAGGGGGCCGAGGGCAGGGTGCTGGTGGGGGCCTGGGAAGGGGCCAGGGTGCTGGTGGGGGTCTGGCCAAGGGGAGAGGGCAGACACCTTGGCTGGTACCTGCGGTCCCCAGGGACAAGAATCTCTGGGTAGCACTGGATGAAGCCACTGGACAAAGATCCTATGCCACCTTCTTACACACATACCCCCCGAAGCATAGGGAAGGAAGGGAAGACAAGAAAGTATGGACGCTGCCTGCCTTCCTTCCTTACTGCAGCATGGGCAGGGAGGAGTCCCATAGCTGCACACCAGCTCAGTGCCACCTTCCACCCCCCCAGCACTGCCTGGAACAGCCCTAAGAGCCGTACAATGCTCAGTGATTTAAAGGACTTGGGGCTCTGGGCACTGCCACTGCTGCAGCAGTGGTCAGAGCCCTGGGCCCCATCAGCAGTCCTGTTTCGGTTACAATTTGATCACTAGCAAGCACCCTCCGCCCTCCTAGGGCCCCAGACCAGACATCCCCACTGCGATGAAACAACCCTTTAGCCCAAGCCACTTGAGCCCAAGTCAGCTGGCAGCTTTTGAATTGGAGTGTAGACCTATCCAGGCCCTGTCAGAGGGGGAGGAAGGGAGGGCCATTTGGCTCAGGCCTCAGGAGACAAAAGGGCCTCTAATGTTGACATTTTTCTACCAAGTCATTTCCATTTATTATACACGA